ATAAAACCTTTTGCAATAGCTAAGGAACTTAGTGAACTGTCTGTTGTTCCCTGAAACCTTTTAGGAACACAAGTTTGGAAGAAGGCCTATATTTAGGGGTACTTAATTGAAAATCACCAGATGAGCATAGCCACATCATAGGCCAGAGTTAACATGCTTTCTAAAAGCACCAAAGCCAAGGCTAGACTCTGCATCTTGACATTGTTCATGTTCCTTTTACCTACTCTAAGCTTCGGTTCTTCTGTTCTTGGGAGGGTGATGCTGCTTAACCTTAACTAGGTTAAGTTTCCTCATGATTATTAATCCTGAGGGTCCCCTAGACAGTCCTCGTGGAGTTATGGTAATGGTTTTATAATTGTTGACTCTGTGATTCTGTGTATGGCCCTTCCTCACAGTGCCTTCCCACCTGGCCACCGCCTCAGCAAGGTTCTCACAAGATTCTGAATGTTTATGAGGAAGGAAATGTAACATTTCCATCTTATGAGTGTGGCTTTAGGTTGTGATGGCGAGAAAGCTTGTACTGAGGAGCATAGCGCTGAGGTTTTGAAGCCTCTGCCTGTTCCCGTATCAGCACTACCTAGACTGACAGATTCGGGGTTTGTATCAGAGCAGCAGAGGCATCACCTCTGTAGGGACAGCCGGAACCTCTTCTCTACTTCTAGAAAGAGCTCTTTGTAAACTAGCCTCCAAAGAAGAGGAAGATCCATTCATACTTTCTGACTATCATTTCTTGGGGACTTCCTTATTATTATTCCAGGATATTTTCTCTTCTAGTCACACAGTCCCTACACAGAGGCTGTTACACTCATTTTTCCAGACCTTAAAACTGAAGCTTATGGAGAAAAACCGTCAACATCCCATAGTTAAAAAGTGAGAGCTGAAATCCAAAGCTAACTTTTTGAGACTAAATCCCATCTGCTTTCTATTACTCCACATTCCCCCTCGCTCTTATTTTCCTCAAAGTACTATTTTCCACTGACTTTAGGCCTCTAGCATATGACTGTGTATTGAAAAGAGTGCCTGTTAAACATTTCCTATTGTCCTCTGCCAGAATAGTATTTTCCAGAAGTTCCAGGTATATGGCCATCGTGAGCCTGCCTGCTCCCAGATGGGAAGAGTTTAGCTCCAGATACAGGCTGTTCCTTGATCAGGCTGTCGTTGTCTCTACTCTTTTCATTCTTTTCTGGACACTTATTCCTGGAGAGACATGAATTTGCCATGTTTGCAGGTTGACCATATAAACACTGGCCTTTTCAGGAGACTACCAGAATATTTTGGAAGTTTGACTCTTGGAATTGCCCTCTGACACCAGCAAGTGGGGTACTTAAGGACATAAACCACTCTGAAGGAAAGACAGAGGTTACTCATCTGCTTCGGAGTCCCTTCTTCTGGATCTGAGATGGACAATCTAAAGGAGATTCCTCGTCAACCACCAGCTCCCTCAAGTTGACCTGTAGCCTCCTGTCATGTGCTGCCTTCTGCCCTGTGCAGGAACAACTGATATTGTGTAGGGTCTCTCCCTGGAAAGAATGTTTCTGCTATTCTAATGGGGGTAGAAGGCATTGCATTCTGTGCTAATAATATCTGCATTTTAATGGCACCTTTCTGCCCTCAATTCTGGCATCTCTGTTATTCCCTCTTCTTTGTCGCTGGAGAAGCTACCAAGGAATACTACCAGAAAACTGTGCCTTGCCTCTAACTTTCTTTGTGCTGCTCTCTCAGTGAGCTTGGTGCTCTGCTTTTGCCATGTCCTGTCTCCTAACATTTCTGCTTGAGCCTCAAGGGCCCTTTCTTTTTCACTTTCATCCTTTTCATTTTTTCTGAGTCAAAAAATAAAGTTTGATTTCCAAGGTTATCTTATCTTTCTTAAGACTAATTCTCCGGCCTGTCATAGTCTTTCAATTTCTTTGATCTCTCTTATCATCAACTGTTTTCAATAAACATGGTTGTATGAAGCCTCCTATTGTCTGGATGGGTCCCAACTTCTGACAGTTTCCTGTGATCTACTTGTCATCAACCCTGTGTCTTCCTGTCATGGTCAGTCCATGGGGTAAGAGTGGGTTGGGACAACACAGCCTTTTAGGAGTCATGTCATGATCTGACTTCTTTGAGGACTGAGCTCCTGAGACATGTGGATCTAAAATCTCTTTGGGTTTACACAATAGAATTTGAGGTTTTATAAATGTGTTTTCCTCTATACTCCTTGCAATTACTCACTTCCCCCATTTACTAGATGGTTAGAAGATCTGCTTTGTGCCATACATGGTCCTTTGTATCCTGGACCTTATGGTCCAGTAGAAAGAAAGGTGAATTAGTCAAGCAATTATGCTAAACTATGTAAAATTTCATTACAGGTTTGAAAGAGCCATATAACATAGAGAGTAAAGTGTGATCTCCAGAACAGCAGCCTCATCAACCTTTCTGAACTTGTTAGAAGCACAAATAGTCTCTCACTCCAGGCCCACTAAATTAGAAATTTAGGGGTGTAGGACCCAGCATCTGTTTAACATGTTCCCAAGAGACTAGGACACATACCTGTGTTTAAGAAATCCTACTCCAAGGCCTCAAGAAGAAAGGAAGTATTTCAGACAGAAAGAATGGCATGTGTTAAAGCCTTATAGCCAAACCAGGGAGTTCTGAAACCACGTACCCAAAAAGGAAAAGAGCAGGATGAGATACATCTGTGGGGAGCCATCCTTTGTAAGTGAGGTGGGTGCCATTGAAAACTGGGCAGTAGAAAACTCCATGCTTCAAACTCACAATGACACCATGCTACTTGCTGTTATGTAAAGGGTGAGTCTAACTCCATTATGGAGAAATGACCAAAGAGCAGGTTGACCAGTTAGAAATCATTGCAGTGGTCAAAGGAAAGATGATGGTAATTTGGACTAAGGTGGTCTTCAGAGGACTGGTCATAGAAGCACATAATCTCACAATTCTTAGTTAAAAGCCATGGGCTTTAGTTGTCAGTTGCAAGTGTCAGGGATGACTCTAGTGTTTCAAGTTTCCATGAAAGATGAAGGATAATGACACCAACTTTGGCAGTGAAAGAGATCATGAGAAGAACCTGTGGAGGTTGGGGTGTTTTTTTTCCACCTAAGTGGAGATAAAAACTAGATAGTAGAAATTGTATGTCTAGGCTTTGAAAAGTCACAGCTGGAGATACACATTTGTGAGTCAGCAGCTGATTAGACAGTGACACCAATAGTGAGCCAAGATGAATCAGCATGGGAGAAAGAAGGCAAAGCAGACAAGAAAGCTAGTGATGCTCATGGAGGATCATCAAGTTCAGTGATCAGATGGAGGAAAATGACCCATAAAACAAGCTTAAAGTGCCAAAGAGGTGGAGGACCTCTTGGGAGCATGAGGCTGTGGCCTCAGAAGCTATGGGCAGAGAAAGTTTCCAGGACAGCATTTAGTGTTGGAGGGGAGGGAATTAGGTGAGAGGATGCTAAAGAATACCTACAGCACGAGTAACACACAGGTCATTCATGACTTTAGTAAACTGTGTTTCAGTGGAGCAAAGAGGCAGAAGCTGGAATGTGAGAGACACAAGTGGAAATAGAAGGTAAGAAGGAGTAAGTAGAGACAGCGCTGTAGAACTGGTTGGGATGTGTCTTATTGTCTGGTGCACATAATAGCACCATGTATTATGTACTCAGTTGATACTTAGTAAATAAAAGTTAACCCTCTTTTTTAAAAAAAGAAATGGTTGTAGGGTGGAGAGAGCACCAACTGACAGAATGTGGAATCATGCAGATTTGTCAGGGTTGGGAATAGGTGATTCTGGAATCCTGAGGACCTGGTTAAAAGGAGGAGGTTGAGGAAAGTAATAGAGCTGTAATCCTGAATGCAGAGGCACAGGCACAGAGGTGTGTCAATTCTGGTAGCTCCTGTTCTTGGCCTACTCTGACCTCTGTGCACCTGCCTGGGGGTGCCCTCTGGCCTGGAATGCCAGCTGCCCCTCCCTGTCCTGGCTTTTTCCCTCCCTCCTGCTTCGTCTGCTCTCAGCTTCTCTCCTGCAGCCTGCTTGGTTCTTTTCCTCATTTTGTTCCCCCCGCTCCCCCATCAAGTTATTAACTCCTCAAGGTCCAGACTTGCTACATCCTTTGGCTCTTTGAACTCACTCTTGGCTCCTTTCCTTCACACCACCTCAGCAAGTTAGCATTTGCAAGATTATTCCACAGGCATACAGAATTAAAATTAATATCATTGGTATAAAGTGTGGAAGAGCTCATTGCTACAACTGAGAAGGGCATAATAAACATGCCTGTCTCTCCATTATCTCCTCCCCCACCCTCTCTCCTTGGTGCTTGGGATTGAATGCTGAGCCTTGCATGTGCTAGCAAGGGTCCTGTCCATGCTCCAGGTCTTGTTGTTACATTTTATTTTGAGACAGGGTCTCGTTGGGTCACCCAGGTTGGCCTTGAACTTGTGATCCTGAGCATCCCGAGTAGCTGGCATTACAGGCACATAAAGCAAACAGCTTCTCCATGTCTTTAGATATAAATTTAAAATAGACTTTATTCAAAGTAATTTCTCTGAGAGGGTTTGGTTTTAAAGGGCTACCTTTAGACATTAGATTTCTGTATGTTAATTTATGGAGTCAATTAGGATTAAGAATGATCTTTAATGTCTACAACAGACTCAAAGAAACCTACTGTCACTCTGAGACATGCAAATTGTATGTAAGATTCTTCACATTTGCAGCAGTTTCTTAAAGATAATTGAGTGGCTTTATCATTCCTTAGAACTCTAAAACCATCAATTACCTTAATGTGGTACATGGACTAAGACCAGACAGTGTCCAATTCATGGACCCACATCCCACAGTCTTATCTAAGAATAAGACTGAGAGAGATGTAACACTTTTGTCCATCTGTCACGGTCAGATCTTTTACATGGAACATCATATTTATGCTTCAGAATCCTCAGAAGTACTTAGTTGAAGATACTTGTTTTACAGATAAAAAAAAAATTGAGGCTCACAATTTTGGCAGGTAATACAAAGGCTGATCTTTCTGCTTACATATGGTGGAGCAGTAGCCATGTCATTGTTGTAACTGTAACACAGGTGGATATCTTTAAATCAAAAATCTGAAATTAAGGGGCTGGGGAGATGGCTTAGGGGAATAAGTGCTTCTCTCAAGTGCAAGGGCCTGAGTTCAATCCCCAGTTCTGCTAAAAAAAAAAAAAGCAATTCTGAAAAATCTGAAATTAGAAATGTTCCCAAATCCAAAACTTTTGAGTGCCGCAAGTGGACAATTTCACACTTGACCTCATATTATGAGTGGATCAAGTCAAAATGCAGGCGCTCTAAAAATACTGCATGGAATTACATTCAGGCTCGGTGTTTAAGCTGTTTATGAAACAAATGAATTCCATGATTAGACCTGACTTCTATATATGCAAGCATTTAGGAATACAAAAAAAAAAAAAAAATTCTGAAATTTGAAGCACTCCTGGTCCCAAGCACCTCACATAAGAGATCTCTAATAACAGCAGTAGCTGTAACCATGCACTGAGTCTCTAGGTGGGGAAGGGTTTCATGTATGTCATACTACTATATCCTTGTGCCAGTCCTGCAAGGACCATCATTCCCATTTTAAAGTAGAGGGAAAAACCTGCAAAGAGGTTATTTGTCCGATCACACAGCTACTTAGTAGTTATGATTCCACTCCATTCCATCTGACCCCAACATTCCTCTCTAAATCATCTTGCTTGTCAGAATGAAGATGATTCCCTGATCCCCAGACCAAAGTCTGAGAGAGAGATTTCTTGATGCTGCTAAATTGACAACTGGCTCCTGGCATTCCTGTTGAGCTAGAATACAAAATATTTAGTCTTTCTAGCTTATCAGTCTTGGTAGGGAGGACAAAAGCATCAGATAGTTTTATAAGTGTCTAAGTTTTAGTAGTGTATTTTCTCAACTATCTAGCAGCTTCCTCTGCCAAGACAGACACGAGTACTCAAAATTAGCCAGAAAACCTCAAACGCAGCCAGAATTAAATATCACAAGTTGTTGAATGAACTCTCACCTTCGCAAGAGTTCCTCAGCATTCACATGAAACTGATTGACTTCAGTTTTACGCATTCTCATGGTCTCTGTTTGAACTTCATCAACAGCTACAAAATCGTAGAGGATGGCCCACTCTAGGGTACAGTAACAACAGAGATGTGACCAGAGATAAGAACCAGGGTTCAAAAAAATTGACAAGAAACTGAAGTACAGCCAGCTGAAACGATTCTTGCCTCCAACACCTTGTAATCCTTCATAGCAATATCACAACAGCATGTTACCAGTAACTGTTTTACTATGATAGAGACACTGAATATTCATGATAAATTAATATTATATCAGTTGGGACCTCCAGCTGAGGAAGGTAGTGATCCTGTGAGTAGCATTTCTTTAGAAACTGGGGGGAAGCATCTCCTTCCCACATAAGCATTAGTACTTATCCTTAAAATCCAGCCATCCGAGACTGATTGCCCAGAACCCTCCATGCTGTTTTTCTTTGTATTCCTGTGGTACGGTTCCTGACACATAATACAGGCTGAACAGCCATAATCCAATACTTCAAAATCTGAAATATTCTAAAATCTGAAAGTTTTTGAGCAATGACGTGATGCCATGCATGAGTGGAAAAGCTCAGTGCAGCAAAGCGCTGACTTATGCACAAGATTATAAAAACACTGTGAAAAAATGCCTTTAGCCTGTTTATAAAGTGCATATGAAATGTAAATGAATTTCATGTTTAGATATCTCATTGTGTGTTTGCAAATATTCCAACTGCCCCCCGAAAAAAAGCCCAAATGGTCAGATAAGGAATGCTCAGGAGGTGCCAGCCCACTGACTTAGATGGAGCATGCCAAGCAGGTCCTCGGGAGTTTGGAGTCCTGTTTGCTGTGGTCACTTAGAGAAGCTACATTCCTGGATATGTTCCAGGATTACTTTATGAGACAGAGAAGAGGTGAAGACCTGGAGAGTTCAGTATTAATTCTCCTTTTACATGTGATTAAATAAGATGATACCAGCCTCTTTCCAAATAACAGTAATAATAATAAACATTCAATTACATAATAGTTTTATTTATCATCAGCTGCATCGATAATAACTACTGTTGATCACTAGGGAAGGACATAATAAAGAAGTTAGGACACATTTGAAATCCAATAGCTAGAACCAAGCTGAGAACGATCAAATCAGATCTCCCTAAGTAAGTGGGGACTCAGGATTTTCAGAACACACTCTCTCCAGCTCCAGCCTGCTGGCAAAGATTGAGCCCTGGGAGAATCAACCTTGACCTGAAGTAGAGAGGACAGACCTTCTGAGAGGTCCAGGCACCCTGAGGGTGCACGGTCAGAGGCAGCCTGAGACCGCGCTTTGGGCCTTTACTCCCAGCACCTGGCCTTGCTTCCCGCACAGAGCCAGTCATTTTACAGGTCATGGCCATTTTGAAAAGGCCAAATGGCTGACCTGTTTAATGAGTGCAGTTTCTGCACAAAAGCCCACATCCCTCTCCCCAGAGACCAGGAAGCTTCGCTGGGGGAGGGGAAACAGTTCTCTGCTCTGTGTCTCAGAGATTTCTAGCTTAAACTTATGGCAGAATTAGCAGGAGTTATCTATAAATCCCTGAAGTATCTATCAGCAGGCAGATCCAGGCAGCCTTTCGACAGAAGCTCACCAATCCCTTGTTAACTCAACTCCTTGTTAGGAAATACCTAATCAGCCGTGAGCCAGCATGCCAGGGGCATGGGGTCAGCAGAAGCGGGAGCTGTGGCGTGGGTCTCCAGCTGCTTGCTGTCCGGCGTCTGAGTTCTGTTTTGCTTTCCACTTTCAGCTATCTTTCAGATCATTCAGAGCATAAGGATGGGGATGTGAGAAAGCCCAGACATCTGACTCTGTGCCCTCCCACTAGAGGGTGGAAGACCACACAGGCCTTTGGCAGGTACCTGTGGGAAACAAACAAGTCACACAGAAGAGAAAGGAGGGCCCCCCTATTGTTGCTGATCACTTCACCAAGGAAGTCAGATCAGATCTCCTTGTCACAGGACATCTCAGTGCATCCGTGTCCCCGAGCAGAAAGGACATTCTGCTTTCCTGGTGACCGGATCGTTAGCCCAGCAGGTCATCTGCAGCAGCAGTCTACCTGGTTCCCTCCCTGAGTTTCACTAATGTGTGCATGTGGCCCCTGAAAGACCACCGGTTTTCTGTCTACTGATAAAATCTCTCCTCTGTCAGAAATTGGTTTTACAAATAAATGTATTCATTCAAGCTTATGCCATGTGTGAGTTACGAGGGAAGAAAGTAGCAGAACAGTCCAAAGCAGATGGGGACTGGTAGGAGAATTTCATTACGTAATGGGAAAAGGAAAAAAGAATCCTCTCATCGGGATCCAGAGATCTATCCAGCAGGTCAGACTTTGTCTGAATGAATCTCTGGAAAGGTTCAATGATCTTGAGTTTCCACACATTTGACTCACCTTTTTCTTTGTTGAAATATATTTTTGTCTTGCTAGGTGTTTGGGAGTTTTTTGGGGTTTTGTTTTGTTTTGTCCAAAAAAGGTAATGTAGAGTATGTTAAGGTCTGATTACCTGTTATCCCTCCTGTGGTCTGCCTCAGGGGATACACAGAGCAGATGTCTTAGGCCTCCCAGTGAAAGCCATTACTTCAGGGCCCAGTGGCAGACTCTGAAGCCTGGAGTGGCCTGGTGGCCAGCAAGTGGGGGGTAGGAGCAGGCTCACTGGTGCCCCCTCTCCCTGGCCAGCCTTCCCACGGTCTCTCACATTGTGATGTCACCAAATGAGGTTCCTGGGACAGTCACAGGGACCTGAGGCAGGAGTATAGTCCCATGCAGTGTTAAGTATGCCTTTATTTTTTGAATTCCATCTTTTTATTGGCCATTGTTTTTCATTCCTTCACATCATGAAAGCTGTACAAAGGGAAGTGGCAGGAACAAGGGGTTTTGTTACAAGTGGCACACTTTGAGTTAGGGGCTATTTTAATCACTGGTCTTTCACCCTGGACCAGGGATGGAGAACCTTTTAGAGCTTTCAGTGATAACAGTCTGCTGAGGCACATGTGCCATAGGCCCTTTAGTAATGTTCTTTAAGACTTCCTTTTTTCCTACCCTCTGAATTCCCCTCCAAAATCATTCTTCTCCCTTCTCACTTCCTTCCTTTCCCTCTGAAGCTGAGAGCAGGACACCTCTTACACCAGTGGCCCCAGGAAGAGTCTGTCAGCCCTGTGCCCAGGGCCCAGGCCCAGCTGCCTGCCTTAGGCTGAAGGGAAAAGGCCACTTTCCTCCAGAGGACTGAGACTGCCCCCTCCCACACCCTTCCTGATCCTGTTATTGCCTGTCCTTGACTTGTACACAGGCATTTCTCTTCTTTCTTAATGCCATCAAAAGCACACCCGCCTCTCCACCACAGAAGGCCATAGGGGCTGCAGTGCTGCCCTCCACACACACACACACCTTGCTGCACAGAATTTCTCTTTCCCTAATTTGCACTTTACCACAACAGCAATACTCAAGAGGGTGATAGCCCCATTTCAAGGAAAGGGAAACTGAACCACATCTGGAATCAGCTCCAGAAAAACCCAGGTTGATCCCCAGGTGATAGTTGTGTTATGCTTTGTCCCCAGGCTATGCACTCATTCACAAATGGGTTTTCTCCTTGTTTTGAGGTAGCCACCTGGAAGTACTTCTATAGTGCATCATTTTGTTCCTCCCCTAGCTTCTCCATCAGTCCTCTGCAGTGAGGGCTGCAATAGGTCAATGAGGGGCATCACCAGTGGGTGCTGTACAGCACACAGACGTCTTCTCATGACACACACTGAGAAACGCTGTGTTCCAGTGCACAACGTGCCCACAGAAGCAGGTTCTACAGAACAACACCCAGCCTCACCACACAGTCCACTTCAGCATTTTGCTTCTAGTCTGTTTTTTTAAAAAATTCTAGGGCTAGGGAGATAGCTCAGTAGAATAAGCGCTTGCCTGGCAAGCACAGGGTCCTGAGTTCAATCCACAGTACCCCAAAATAAAAAAATTTAAAAAAATTCTAGTTGTATCCTTGACCATTGATTCCATAACCCATACATAGGCTTCAATCCAGTTTGAGAAACAACGATTTTCAAGGAAAATTCAAGCACTTAGTAGAAGGGGGATAAGTAGGAAAGTCTGAGCCCCGCCTTGTCCTGATGAGAACCTGAAGCAGCATCGTCAGCCAGCTCACATACCTGGCGCATAATGTAAGACTTTTACGATTTCAGGTGTGTTGGATGATCTTGAAGAAAGTAGGTGGAAGGAGGTGGGTGAACCTGTGGACCTGGCGCCACCTTGAAGCCACTGAAACACCGTGACATGAAACTGTGCTCAGAGGAAAACCCAAAATGAGACCACTGCAGTATTATGATCTTCCTGAGACCATAAGCTTCATATAACCTCCTCAGATTGATGGAACAGTGCTCATTCAAGTATTAATCAACACAGATTAGGCAGTGCTTCAGTAATAAGGAGAAAAATTCAATGACCACACACAATAACATTTACTCGTGTTATCACATAAGTGACACAAGCTGGCACAGACTTGCCTCCAAGGAGTAGTTCAGTAACTGGGCTCTGCAGCCATCTCAGAATAAGGTTATCGCAGCATCTGAAAGAAAGTTGTAAGGTACCTTTTGCCTTGGCCCAGCAGTAGCACTTCAGTTCCACTCACCACTGTTTGTCCAAACTAGGCACATGGCCCAGCCAATTTGCAAAGAACACTGGACACGTCAGAGTGCACGTATTATTTGGTGAATTGTGTTTCCGTGGTAATCTTCCACTCCCTGTATTTTCTGCATGTGGTGTTACTGAAAAGTCAGAGTTCAGGCTTTCTAGCCAACTTCTTTTGGGGAGCGGGTACTTAATACCTCCATGCACGGTGATCTTCTAGAGCTGTGCCCTTGTTTGCAGGGCACGGACAGCAAGTGGGTGGCTTTCTGTGAGCTCCTGAAGGTGATCAAACCAGTATTCTTTTAAGCATGAAAAGGAAGATCAAGAATAATTCTGCCATGATAGCAAACTATCTCTACCAGGGCCACCCTGGACACATCAGAGCATATCATCAACCTGGCCGAGGACAGACGCAGACACTCGGCTAAGTCAAAAGTTTTGCACCTCCACAAGCTTATTGTTCACTGCATAGGGATTTTCTCCTAAGAAGAAGCTTAGAATCCAGTCTTCCCACAAGATAAGTTAGTTATAACCAGTGCTTATAGAAGAGTTCAATTCTTACAAGAGGTGCCTCTGTTAGGGGCTATAATTATGTGTCCTACAGATAGGAGACTGAGACCCAGAAGGTTGGAAAAAATTGTCGAAGGTTATGCAGCTACACTACAGAGACCCTGAGATTTAAAGCAAACAGGTCTTGGCACCTGTGCTCTTCAGCACAGCTCTGCCCTGGGAAAGGGCACAGTCTTGAAGATGGAGATTTCCTGCTGGCTGCTCCACACCTAAAATAAAGGGTGGTGCCTAGAGCTCAGCTAATACTCCTGAAGTGAAGAAATCTGTAAATGAATGGCCTTGTGTGGAGTGTACGCTGTGGTGAGGATCAAACTGAAGTAGGCAGAATAGAGTCCTAGAAATGACTTCCGATCAGAAGCCAGGCTCTGGGCTGTTTCCTATCACTTTGTTCTGTGGGCCCCAGTGCACTCATTGGCATACTGAAGATATCCTGTCCTTCCCAGGACTGAAGTAGGAAACAAATGCTTCATGTGTGCAGCATTGCTTTTTAAAAACTGTAAGATGCTATACAAATTATATAGATGTATGTGTATACACGTATATAAACATTTGTATGTAACTGCATAGTAATCATTGTTGACATTCATATAATAATATAATAATTGCCAATCAGTGTAATTTCTGTGAGACTGAAAAGATAAGAACATTGCTTTGTATTCAAGATCATTCCACAACATGCCCCAACCTCAGGTTGTGCTCTCAGCAGCGGGGAGGTGATGGGTGATTCAGCACGGTCCACCCCTTCGAGTGGACAATAACTCAAGTCCCCATGCTGCCAACAGTGCCATGGTGTTTGGTGTCATTATTGCTATTCACTGTAGTTTCTGAAGAAGTTTAGGTAAGTCTCAAAACTAACCTGAGCTGTGAAGGCTGTGCTACATCATTCCTAAAGAGAATGGAGATAGAATATGTAGCAACTCACACCACACTGAGATTCAACACAGAGGGGGCAGGAGAAGAAAACAAAAGGATGGATGGAGGAGAAAGAAAGGAAGGGAGATGAGCTACTGCAAAGTGCAGTGACTGTAGTTACAGCAGGTTTTAAATGTTCTCACCAATCACACATACATAAGTGATAGCTAAGCAAGGTGCTGCATGTGTTAGCTACTGTGATTACCATTACATTGTACAATATAGACATTATCAAATAATTTAAATGCATACAATTTTATTTTTCAATTATATTTCAATAAGTCTGGGGTGAAAATGGAGAAAGGCAATAAAGGAGGGAAGGAAAAGGAAGGAGGAAAGGGACTTTCTGGAAGTATGTAATTTTCTTTATCATTCACAAAACTCATCCAATATGTTTTGCTACATCAGGTGCTGGGAAGACCTGGCACACCTCCTGCCCTCCGATATCCACTCTCTACAGCACGCATCAGGGAAATGGCTCAGGGGGTTGGTAGTGGCAAGTCCAGCTCCCAGTCTATGTGGTTTCTATATGGAAAAAGGACTTACCTTTCCTTTTTTCCCTTTATTTTGCTATAAATATTTTGATAATCCGTCTTCAGACTTGATGTGCTATGGGTCTCATGGAACACATGGGAGTAGAATAAAGGTATATTTCACTGTCTCTCTGTCTCTGTTTCTGTCTCTGTCTCCCTTCCTCCCCCATTCTTTCTTTGTGGTGCAGAAGATCAAACCAAGGGCCTCTCTTATCTGAGGCAGATGCTCTTCTGCTGAGCTATATTTCTAATGATAAGGTATGAATAACACTGCCAGAAAGACACACAAACAGAAAAAGAGCCATCATCCTGCTCTGTGAAATAGCTATATCTCTGGAACTTACTGAGAGCAGAAGCAGGGTGGACTGAGATACCTCGAGCCCTTCCTGGACCCCCAGGAGCACAGTGGCACTTGTGGGGCCCAGAAGCATCCTGCATTCTAGGCCCTTCCCTCCATTCCCTCCATGTGAGCAATCACATTTCCCCCTATGGAAAGGAAGGTGGCTACAGAACGCACAGCAGCTGTCACTATGACAA